TCTTGTGAAACGATTCCGCGAAGGCTTTTTCACACTTCTTGTTAATGATCCATTGCTCACTTTGACTGTTCGTCATGCTGTAGCGGCTTGTCCTTTCGAAGCCTCAATGTGAAAATGATACCGGTGAGATCTACAGACCAGAGTATCTTCAGCGATACGACCTGACTCCGTAAATCTTTCCAAAGTACACCTGCTCGATACGCGGTTGTTATCGCCTGCCCGCCGGCCCCAGCCTGGTGCTGGTTGCTGCAGCCGCCGTCACGTGGCCAGATGAGATTGAGGCGCCGGGTTCTGGTGTTTCTTTAGGTCGTAAACTTGCGAGTGAGCCTGCTCAAAGGTATTGTAAGCGAATACGCGCACACATACGCGCAACACACGCATACCCGCACGCACGCATTAAATACATACATACACACACATACACACACTCACACACACACACACACACACACACACACACACACACACACACACACACACCACACACACACACACACACACACACACACACACACACACACACACACACCTTATTTAGTTATACCTGGCCCATGGCGTCCCCGTTAGCCCTCATATCGCAAGAAAGGGCAACTTTCTAACGTGATCCCTCCAACCTGAGGGACACACCAGGTCTGCCTCTGTCCGGCAGACCGACAGGGGCACCGAACACCGTGCTGTCCAACTCACGTGAGCGCCGCTGGTGCCGGTGTGCTGCGGACAGACCCAAACAGTATCTCACCGTCGGCCGCTTACCCAGTGACGTCACCACCAAGTGCGCTGTCGCACTCTCTGGCGCCTCCGGACCGCGTGCCGTGTGACGCTCCAGTGCTGGCGCGCAGCCAAGTCCATGTCGGCCCCAATGTGCAGGTAATGTCCCTATCCGTCTATAGGCGTTGAGCGCTTTTTGTTGGACTACGTCCCAGACTGATTCTGGAGGAATATAATAGCTCTCTGATTTTATTTAAGACTTGACGTTACTGTTACGTTATGAACATGCTTGCCGGTTACCTCTAAACCATTACCAGATATAAGGCCCCAGTTATTTCTACGGACGTCGTCAGATTTCAGTTGGTCCTGAGAGTGTCCCGCCGTTTTTTGGCTCTGGGCCTGGCATGCGTCGCAGCCCACACAAATTGTGTGGTATATTGGTGTGACGGGACAAGCACAAGTTTTTCAAGTAACATTGCATCTGCAGTGAAGAATCCATACACTGAAGTCCAAGCCTGTATGAAAGTGAAGCTGGAGCCAAAACTCTGCTATCATTGGGGTTTTTATGACGCACACAGCTGCTGAGGCTATATGGTGCCGCCTGCCTCTCACCCTGGCAGGAAAGGTGGACACCGCGCGGAATCGACCTCTCTCTCTCGCTTCCCAGACGCGCAGTGGTCGAGGAGCCATAGCTCTACGATCGTTTGCAGGCGTAGCAAAAGCCCAAGCTACCAGTCAAAATGACAAAGCATAAGCCGAAACAGAAACCCACTATGTAAGCTGGCACGAAGGCAAAGCTGAAACGACACCTATCCTTAAAAAGCGGCTCAGAACTGAAACTGAACCCCAAGCTATTGGAGGAAGACTGAGGCCTTTCGTAGTCGACCCCAGATTCGTCCCCATGACTGTTTGGAATCGTTATCTACACTGTCTGTCTCCCGTATTGACTGAGCTCCCCGGCACCCGTCTGAAGAAAACATCGACGCCACGGTCGTCTCTCAACGAGGGACGTGGCTTCACCGGTCCCGCGCTGGGCCACGGCGCTATCCCGGCGTCCCCCGCGGCCCCGAGGGCACCACCAGCCACGTTAAGAGTTTGAGACGGTTTATTGAAAAACACCTCTTCAAAAGAGCGGAACACAAAACAAAAATTACCCTACGTACAAGTGCGACGAACAAATCGCCACGAAAATACCCGCATAGCAAGCAAGAACCGCTTGTACCAAATCATAAACAAACAATCAATAATTGCTGGACATCAGACACTGGGAAGTAACATATTCCACATTACTATGCAAGATGTAGAAAATTCCCTCCTCAATAGCTCCAATCCGATGAAAAACATAGTTTTAAGAAATAATCAAACTTTGGCTGGTCAGTTAAATACGCATTGAATTATCATGGCAATGCCTAACAGCCGTAACATACGGCAAGCCGCAACAAGTACAGATGAAAACCTAGTCGCCAGTAACCGCTGGTTAGTCATATTCGCTTCTAGAAACTGACATAGCTCATCAGAAATTCGCAAAGGAGTCCCAAAAGAAGCATTTTATCACACGAGCGACGCCACATTTCTTAACGTTTAACACAGCACGGTAGCATATCCTTGAAAATGCACCGAGTCAGATCCCAAACCTGAGGCACCACGAAACAAGCTTTGGTGCGGCACCAAATGCCGCACCAAATCATCCACCCAGCCTGCAGACGCTAAACAACTTTGATCCTACCTGGTCATCTAAAACAATAATTCCTCTAGCCGAGAACACAGCTTCCCAACTCGCCGCTATCATCGCTAGCGTCGTCAGCGTAGCTCGAGCAGTTTCTCCACCTGCCGCCGCGTGTCGCTGAGGTCGACGGCGGAGTGGCCCACCGTGCGCGGGTCCTCATAGATAGCGTGATCGTTGCCGCCCGGACTCGACTTATCGCCGAAAAAGTGAATCTCTGAAATGACAGTCCAATCACCACCGCGTCGCCGCCCCATCGTGCCACGCACCAGCCGGGACCCGGCCGTCCCACTGCTCGCCGGGTGGCTCTGCCGGCCGCCCGGAGCCTGGTCCGACCGGGAGCAGCACGGTGACGGGCGGTCACGACCCGCTGGTCTGACCCGTAGGGGCTCTGCGCTCAGCGCCGGCGGCGGCGGAGGAGAAGGAGGAGGAGGAGGAGGGGGCAGGGCGCGTTAGGCACAGCCCTTCCCCAAATGGAATGTTTGCCAGCTTCGAATTGTGTAGCCAAAACAAACTCCACTCACCAACAACCTTGACATAAGCTTGCAGCACAAAGCTAGAGGCGACGAATACACCATGCACGATGCACAACATAAGATTTGGCGTGGAAAGTCAGCTGTCCGCCAGCTGCGGTGGGGGGGGGGGGGGGGCAGTACCCAACAAGGCGCAAGAACATACCTCAAGGCTCGGTAATGATGTTCTGAGGTCCTCGGCAGTGCCAACCAAATCCGAGCCATGACAGCCAGCTTCACATTGTTTTTTTTCTCAATTATGTTACAGTTAAACTTCTCCAAGCTGCTTTCCTCGGGAGCTGCCAACCATTCGTCGATCTCCGACACCACAGGGGTGCTCTGTAATGAATTGATTGACTTGACAGCTATAATTGCCACTCGGCATTAATGGGTCAAGCCAAATCCGCTCTACGGGCAAGCCTGAATCTAAAACCGCAGGCTTCCTATGTAACCGAGATCGCCATAATCACGTGCGGAGCACACGGCAGGATCATCTCCAAAGTCTGCTCTCTAAACATGGCACCGCTGCCGACAAAACGCGGTCGCGCATACCGAGCGGCGAGGCTGCGAGTATGCGCTACCACTCGAATTATCTTCCATAAATACTTCGCAGTGTAGATATGCACCAAAGTATCGGTTTATGTCATGAAGCTGTGCTGTATCCTCACCAGAGACTCAGGGTGGTTATTTGTCTATATATTCGATTTGGTGCATTATTTTGAAAACTTCTGTCTCCCAGCTATGATGGGAGCAACGCTGGAACACAGCATGACATCTTTGAAAGGAACTGTATGTGCATGGCATGCCCTAGAAACAGCCCGACATGACACAAGTCCACAAGTCCCATGCTGGATCTATAAGACGTCTTAACGGTTGAGTATCCTTTCTTGCTTGTTTGTGAGCCTGCGCCCTTAGGATGCATTGTCATATATATATATATATATATATATATATATATATATACATATATATATATATATATATATATATACATGCATATATATATATATATATAACGGTCAACGTAATATATATTGATATTTATATATACATATATAGATATATGTATACAATTTACCAATAATTGTGATAGGTATAATTAGCAATTACCTTTTATTTCCATAAGCATCTTTATATATATATATATATATATATATATAATATATAAGGTTGTATACGTTAATTTGGCACGTGGCTTGTATTGTTGGCGAATTGCAGTCATTCGGTGCGCGTGATGTATCGATGCGTGCATGAATATTTATTGTTTTTTTCGAATAAAAGCCGAAATATTTGGTTTGGTCTAATTACTGCAGTCACTTAATTACCGGGTTAGCCCTAGACTACGCCAGTGCTGGGGCTGGTAGCTTGATGCCGATGGCTAACGTCTATAGTGCTTTCCCCAGCTACTCACTACTCAAACACGTGTGTTGCCGTTCAGCATGTCTGCTAAGGTGACTATCAATGTTATATATAAACTACCCATATCTGATGCATGGAAACATTCCAAACTTTGCCTTCATTGATTCTCCAGTTAAAATTAGAATAAAACAACATGCAGCCTCACACACATTCCTTTGAGAAGCGAGGAATCACTCTCGCGTCAACGTAATCAATGTCACGTGCATTACTGCTTTGTTTGCCACTACGCCTACAAAGGCATCGGTGACTGAGCACACAGTCGCAGCGGAACCAGGATATTCCCCTGGCTTTACTGCGTTGAAAATAGCAACGCAGGCTCCTTGGAACGGCTGCGGTATGGACTTCGAGCTTTCCTGTGCGATAAACATGTTTTCCATTCAGAGCCTTTTGGGGGTGGGTTCCCTTATACCCTTATACTAAAGTATAACCTTCACAGCTTAACTGACCAAATGCAAGTGAGATAAGAGGCAGTGCTCAATTTAATGATGCAACTATCTAGGAAGCCATGCTGAAGTTATATTACTTCGTGAAGACGTTTGTCCTTGAATTATCGTACTGTCTTAATCATGCAGACACAAGAGTTCCTTTTGCTGGCAATCACGGTTTGACTTTGAGGAACTACAGATAAGTGACTTTCAAGATATATTTTTTCTTTCGCACCACAAGATCAGCTATTCATTTCTACCCAGCAACGCAATCTGTATTGCCGCTACGCTGCGCCGTTCGGAAGTAGCATTGAACAAACACGGGGACGGAACTGCACCCGCAACGGAGCGTCTGTTAGGCCGCCATTCTGCCAGCGCCAGATCAGCCGACTTCACCACCAACGCGATGTTATGACGAGGGCAGCCTGCATCAGGTCGGGGACCATGATCGGCAACACCAAGGAGATACGACCAACGGTGTGTGCACCAACAGAACGACCACGCATTGGGTACTCGGAACCGGTGCGTTAAGTGGAGAACGGGGCCGGGCTTGCTCGGAATCGGCAGGGCGCGTCCACACACCCATATGTTGCAGCGTGTTCACGGATACTTGGGGTCGGTGCAGCGACAGAATGGTGGCTGACAGCATGCCTGCAGCTGCGGCCGCCACATGTGGTCCCACCAGGTCATCTGGCTTGGCACCCCTTCTAGGCCGGCCTGGTGCTGCTCCACGGCGTTCCGCATGGTCTGCAGCACGCGCCCGTACTGCGCCGTGTCGGGCGAGAGCGGCCTTTCCTCGCTGATGTCCTGCTGGATGTTGTAGACGGCCGGCTGCGGCAGCACCAGCGAATGGTGGCACTGACAGATGTATGGACAGCGCTGAGTGCCAGGGATCCACGGCGGCCAGTAGAAGTGTACCTTCCACGTGTGCGCCGCGTCCTCCATCCAGCGCGCCGAGTGGATCGTCGCCTTGCAGTAGTGGAAGAGGAAGCGGTGGGGGGAGACATGCGCGGCACCCGACAGCAACGGCAGCATGTCTCGGCCGTCAATCTCCCGGTTCGGCAGCTCTCTCGACACGTCCAGACCGGCCAGCCGCAAAGCCGTGGGCAGCAGATCCATGCTGGAGACCGGCAAGTCAACCACCGATCCGGCTGGCACGCGCGGCGGGTAGCGCACCATTGTCGGCATGCGTATGCCACCCTCCATGCCACCCATACCCTTGCCACCCTTGAGAGGGCCATTGAAGCCGCCCTGGACGTCACCGTTGATGCCACGCTCCTCCGTGTGGCCGCCGTTGTCGGAGGTGAAGTAGACGAACGTGTTTCGGTCGAGGCCGAGGCGCCGTAGAGTGTGCAGGATCCGCCCGACCGCCCAGTCAAGCTCCAACACGCTGTCGCCGTACAGACCGTGTCGTGACTTACCCCGGAACTCGTCCGCCACCGCCAGCGCCGCGTGCATCTTGCAGAATGAGTGCATGTGAAAGAAGGGACGGCCGGCGCGCGCATGCGCCGCCAGCCGCTCCTCCGTCTCGGCCACGAAGCGCTGTGCTAGGCCCTTGAGCCGCATCGGCTGCTCGACCACCTGCTCGTCCTGCATGATGAGTGAGCTCAGGATTTTCCAGTTGGCGAAGAAGAGTGCGGTGAGCAGCGCAGCGCCGGTCAGAGCCAGCGAGAGCGCGAGGAGTAGCCGTGAGCGGCGACGGAAGAAGAGTGCCGACATCACTCCACCGGCCATCAGCGCGTAGAGGATGGGGAAGCCGTTGGGGTGGACGGAGGCGTAAACCGTCTCGCCGTCGTCGCCAAAGTCCTTCAGGTTGGTCATGGGGATGCCGTAGAAGGAGTCGAAGCCGTGCGTCAGCGGGTGGTGGCAGTGATCTCCATAGCGTTGGCAGCTGATGCCCAGGTGCCACTTGCCAACGAGCGAGCTGGTGTAGCCGTGACGACCAAGCACCTGCGGCAAGAGATGTCCCGGCGTCGGTTCACTGGGAAACGTGACCGCGTGACAGCTGTGGGCGGTGGTGAGGTCACTTGGGAAAGCGGCAATGAGGAAGGTCCGGCCGGGAGGGGGTGGGGGTGAGATTGAGGGGTGGGGGGGGGGGGGGTCTTGTACAAGTGATAACACCAATTCTCTATGTTGTTTAGCAGCCAAACGAAATGCATTTGGGCGAAGAGAGCTGATTTTAAGCAGATAGACGCCGTCAGCCATCGTTCAGAAATTCCGCAGGCAAGGTGAACCCGTCAGCAAGCATCCAGGCCTTGGGCAGGATGATTTCGAATCAGGGCGGACGAGGAGCACGCCTGACCTTGGGCAGTGTGGTTTCGTTGGGCAGCAGTCCCAACCTGGACGCCGCTAGCAGGATAATCTCCCATTCGTCCTCCTGAGGCGCTAGCCCGTATCTGCGATGTAGAACACGGTCATCATGAGCTATGAAACGAAATGCGCGCTAGCGGAAGGAACTTTTTCAAGGCAGGTTGACGCCGTCTGTATGTGTTCGAGATATTTTGTGTCGAGGAATATGGTGCCGAACTGAGACACATGCGGCTGTTTTGGACTTTGTTAACTCCGGTTGCGGGCAGGAGTGTAACCAGAATTTCACAATGGGCGAGACGGGGGGAGGGGGGGGGGGGGGCGGCGAAGAAATCAACTCAAAATGGAGAACGGAGAAACGATTTGGGAGCACCGCAGATGCGCGAAATTACTTACGTGGCGCGAGACGAAATCGCAGGTTCTAAAACTTTTTGTGTACCTATCTATCTGGAATTTTCGAAGGTTAACATAAATTCACGTGCGGATTCACGCATGACTTGTCACTGGTAACAGCTAAGACCCTCGCGAAAGCCGGGGTCCTTGGTTCCTGCTCTGGTCGCTGCGAAGAGCCGGTGGGCGGGGCCGAGGCATGCCTTAAGCGCGGTCAACGGTCGCTGACCTGATGGGAAGTCGGCCAGTGAGGAGGGCGGCACGACTTGGCGTACACATGGCGGCTGCCACGAGACTCTGCTTCAACACGGCACCCTCGGCAGCTAGTCGGTCTGCCATGCAGTCAGCAGTATTTAGTATTACATTTTGTAAGACATTGACAACTTATCACCCTGATAACTGTCCTAAAGTATGTCATTAGTTCAGTTCAAGATGCAGCTTAAAACCCGAAAGCAGGAGTAAATCACTCGCCATTATTATTTATCGACTGTTTTTTTTCTGAAACACCCTACAACACCCTACAATGCCAGCCGACGATGGTCCGTTTCACATTTCACGACATATTTTGTGACAAAAGATGCATTGATTGGCCAGTGCATGTGCGCGTACGCGGATCGTCTGTCGGGATGGCATGGTGACATGGACCAGGTTCGGTAAACAATCAGCACGCGATCAGCCCCGCCGGAGGGCAGCCCTGCAACCGCGGACTAACCGATGTTCGGCGTGGGGATGCTGGTGTTGCCGAACGGCCCGATGTCGCCGTAGCCGAGATCATCGACGAGCAGCACCAGGAAGTTGGGACGGTTTTCGGCGGCGGCGACTGCCGACGCTGTGTAGGAGAGCGTCGCCAGCAGCAGGAGCGGCCAGCGCATGGCGACACCGCCGGCCTCGGGCGCACGTGGAGGTGATGAGCTACGCTGCTCACCCGACGTGGCTGAGACGGCACTGGGAAGTTTAAATGGCCGTCAAGAACGATAGCGCTGCGGTTATTGACTGCATTAAGGGCATATTGTCATGTCAAAGGGCTTCAATTAGTCCTGGACGGCAGCTCCTCTGCGCCACGCATCGCTGAGATCCGGTGACCAACTCCTGCAAGGCGGTACGTACAGTGCTGTCACCCGCCAGATGCTTACGGTATTGTAAATAAACCTCACAGCCAACGGTGCCGTCGGTGGACGTTGGACATTGAAAATTCCCGCCAGCCTCAAGCTAGAACAGTGCGGCAATGTTTAAATGACTTAAGCTACCACACGACAAGCTGAAACGTGAACGACGACATGACTAGTTGCATGAAGTCCATGGATAATTCAGCGAGCCCGTCTTTCCATTCATACCCCAGTAGCAGGTGCGGGTCCAAAGGGGGGGGGGGGACTGTACGCAAGGTATAAAAATGCGAGTTTGTGGCCATGCTTCAGTCGAAGTACCACACCGGACGCTTGGTAGCAATATAACATGCACTTTTGGCGTGGTGCAAGGCATACCGGTTTGACTACTGCATATATTACAACAAATCGCGATATCTTGCAATACCTACGCTGTTTGGTCACAAAAGGGAATCCAGTGTTAGGCGGTGAGTATCCTTTCCCTGGAGCTGCTAGTTCAATCGCTTTAAATAAATTATAATTATAAATCATAGCATGATGCCAGTCAACCATTTTGAAGCGTGCAAGAGTCTGTTTACGATTTGTATTGGTCTTTATCTGCTTCTTTACAAATAAGCCGAATTCAATCACAACTTGTTCATTCTACACTTACATTTAAATTTACACGACAGCCATCCCACGACTTCTTCCTGCCGGCCAGCTTCCGCCTCTTGGCTTGCGCTGGCTGTCAGTCATGGCACCATCAATGTCACTTTTCCCCGTGCTATGCATCTCAACACACTGTGGTTCGGCGTGAATGTGTTGAACAAGACGGCAGCCAGCGCCCTGAACGCGTTGTCTTTGCTCGGGAAGCGGTGGCCATTGAGCAGGACAATTCAACCAGACGGCCCATCACTCTTCCCAAGGGTTACCATGCTTTTCTGGAAGGTCTCTGAAAGACATGGTGCAGCCAAGGAAGTGGTACCGGATGCTCTAACCTCTGGCCAGCCATCCTTCACATGGCATATGTTCTTGGCAGAGACGGCTCTTCACATTTCTTGTCAATGATCCAGCTCCCACTTTGACTGTCATACCCTTCACTTTAAGCCTACCCTTCAACGACACGACCTGACTTCATAAATCGTTCCAAAGTACAACTGCTCAATACGCGGTTGTTATCGCCTGCCCGCCGGCCCCAGCCTGGTGCTGGTTGCTGCAGCCGCCGCCACGTGGCCAAATGAGATTGAGGTGCCGGGCTCGAGTGTTTGTTTGCGTCCTAAACCTGCGAGTGAGGCTGCTCAAAGGTATTGTAAACGAACACATACACGTACACACACACACACACACACACACGCACGCACGCACGCACGCACGCACGCACGCACGCACGCACGCACGCACGCACGCACGCACGCACGCACGCACGCACGCACGCACGCACGCACGCACACCACACACACACACACACACACACACACACACACACACACACACACACACACACACACACACACACACACACACACCTTATTTAGTTATACCTGGCCCATGGCGTCCCCGTTAGCCCTCATATCACAAGAAAGGGCAACTTTCTAACGTGATCCCTCCAACCTGAGGGACACCCCAGATCTGCCTCTGTCCGGCAGACCGACAGGGGCGCAGAACGCCGGGTTGTCCAACTCACGTGAGCGCCGCTAGTGCCGGTGTGCTGCGGACAGACCCAAACACTATCTCACCGTCGGCCCCTTACCCTGTGACGTCACCACCAAATGTGCTGAGTCACTCTCTGGCGCCCCGGACCATGTGCCGCGTGACGCCTCAGTGTTGGCGCGCAGCCGCCAAATTGATGCCGGCCCCTATCTACAGGCGACATCCTTATCTGTCTATTCGCGTTGGACGCTTTTCGGCGACTACATCCCAAACTGATTCCGGCGGAATATAATAGCTCTCTGATTTGATTGAAGACTGGTAGCACTGTTGCGCTAAGAACATGCTCGCCAGTTACCTTTAAACCATTGCCAGATATAAGGCCCCTAGTGTATAAGCCGTCGAATTGTTGACCGCCCTCCTAAGAGTATCGTATTCATCTTGAAATGGCCTGAGCCCGTCAGTCAGTACCAGAATCAGCATGGAGACAAAGCCGTACTTTTGGCTTCGAGGTCAAGCCGGAACCAGAGCAATAGAAATGATCCAAAGTAAGAGCACTGGATTCGTTGGTCGACATTATGGAGCTGACATCGAAAGCAGCGACGCCGAACAAAGGAAATGCTGATCCAAAGACAAGCTCATCAGTTTGAAGTCCCGCCAGGAAGTCGAAGCCGTATCTATCGCACGTTGATCTGCAAAGCCAAAACCATTATTGTATCTGTCAAAACCGCGTGAGATTAATGTCACCGAGGTTTTGCGGGATGGTTGAGACCAGGCGTCAACATTAGCAGCATTACCAACGTTACCATAGTATACATTTCGGACTGCCACCGTCTTGTGTTAGGACACGTACAACGTTTCGAACAGTTCTTTCTCCGGACATCGTCAGCTTTCAGTTGGTGCTGAGAGTGTCCCGCCGCTTCTTGGCGTTGAGCCAGGCATGCGTCGCAACCCACACAAATTACGAACTCTATTGGTGTGACGGAACAGGCACAAGTTTTTCAAGTAATGTTGCACCTGCAGTGAAGAATCCACACACGGAAGTCCAAGCCTGCATAGATCGCATGAGGATGACGCCAGTGCCATAACTCAGCTGTTGTCATTGAAGCTTTTACGACGCACCCAGCCGCTGAGGCTATATGGCGTCGCCTGCCTCTCACCCTGGCAGGACGGGCGAGCACCGCAGAGAATCGAGCCCGGTACCTCTGGCTTCCCAGACGCGCGGTGGTTGAGGAGCCATAACTCTAGAATAGTTTGCGTGCGTAACAGAGCCAAAACTAGCAGTCAAAATGACAAGCATAGGCCGAGACAGAAACCGACAATATATGTCACAAAGCCAACGCTGAAACCACACCTATCATTAAAAAGCGACGCTCAGAACCGAAACCAAACCTCAAGTTATTGGAGGAAGACTTCAAAGCTGGAGTCGGCTTCCTGAAGCCGACTCTCACTTCGTCCCCATGACTGTTTGGAATCATTCTCTACACTGCCTGGCTCCCGCATTGACTGAGCTCCCTGGAACTCGTCTGAAAAAAACATCGACGCCACGGTCGTCTCTCAACGACGGACGTGGCTTCGCCGGTCCCGCGAGGGGCTGCGGCGCTATCCCAGCGTCCCCCGCGGCCCCGGGGGCACCGCCAGCCATGTTCAAACTTTGAGACGGTTTATTGGAAAACACCTTTTTAGAACAGCGGAAAACAAAACGAAAACGATCCTACGTACAAGTGCGACGTACAAACCACCACGAAAATAACCGCATCGGAAATAAGAACCGCTCGTACCGAAAAATACACAAACAATTTAATGAATGCTGGATATCAGACAATGGGAAGTAACATATTCCACATTAATATGCAAAACGTAGAAAAATCCCCACTCAATGCCTCCAGTCCAATGAAAAACATAGTTTTAAGAAATGATCAAACTTTGGTTGGTCGGTTAAATGCGCATTGAATTATCATGACAATGCGTAACAGCCGTAATATACGGCAAGCCGCAACAAGTACAGATGAAAACCTAGTCGCCAGTACGCGCTGGTCAGTCATATTCGCTTCTAAAAACTGACATAGCTCACCAGTAATTCACAAACGTGTTTCAAGAGTAGGCATTTTATCACACGAGCGACGCTACATTTCTTAAATTTTAACAAAGCAGAGTGACATATTCTTGAAAATCCACGAGTCAGATCCCAAAGCTGAGGCACCACGAAACAAGCTTTGGTGTGGCATCAAATGCCGCATCAAATCATCCACCCAGTCTGCAGACGCTGGGCAGCCTTGGTCCTAGCGCGCCACCTATAGCAATAAGTCCTCTAGCCGAGAACACAGTTTCCCAACTCGCCGCTATCGTCGCTAGCGTCGTCAGCGTAGTTTGAGCAGTTCCTCCACCTGCCGCCGCGTGTCGCTGGGGTCGACGACAGAGTGGCCCACCGTGCGCGGGTCCTCATAGATGGCGTGATCGTTGCCGCCCGGACTCGTCTTGTCGCCGAAAAAGTGAATCTCTGAAATCATAGTCAAATCACCACCACGTCGCCGCCACATAGTGCCACGCACCGTCCCCGGACCCGGCCGTCCGACTGCTCGGCGGGTGGTGAGGAGGAGGAGGAGGAGGAGGAGGAGGAGGAGGAGGAGGAGGAGGAGGAGGAGGAGGAGGAGGAGGAGGAGGAGGAGGAGGAGGAGGGAGGAGGAGGAGGAGGAGGAGGAGGAGGAGGAGGAGGAGGAGGAGGAGGAGGTCCGTTAGGCACAGCCCTTCCCCAAATGGAATGTTTGCCAGCTTCGAATTTTGTAGCCAACTACCTTGGCAGAAGCTTGCAGCACAAATCTAGAAGCAAGGAATACACCATGCATGATGCACAACATGAGACTGGCCCTGGAAAGTCAGCTGTCTGCCAGGTGCGGAGAGAGGCAGTACCCAACAAGGCGCAAGAACATGCCTCAGGGCTCGGCAATGAGGTCCTGAAGTCCCAGCAGTGACAGCCAAATCCGAGCCATGATAGCTAGCTTCACATTGTTTTTTCTCAATTGTGTTATAGTCAAATGACAGACAGCGCTACCCAGATCTCTGCCTTGTTCCCCTGCACGAATGGGGTCAATTCTAAGCCAAAATAAGTGGGAACAAAGCCATGATCATCTAAGGGTTTTATCACCGCCTTCCGAATGAGTTTTGTGTCCCGATTCAAACACAAAGTTATCCGAATTAACCTTGATTCACAACCTTTACGGAATGATTTAAAGAACCCATTCATTCCAGCGATCTGATGACTATAACGCACGGGTGATCACAGACTGAAGAAACGTTATTTGAATACAATGCAAGTTTTACCAATATAAAGACTTGTATTGAAAGATTAGTGGTGACTTAGAACTGGGCCGAACTGCACAAACTGGTCTCATTCAAACAGCGGAATGACTACCTGCACGAGCCCTTCGACCAGCCCAAAATGTTTTAACTACCCTGAAATGGCATGGCAATGAAATGCGAATGACTGGTGTAACCCTAATTAGTTGGTGGCCATTGCAGAATTTCTACCTGTTCTACGGCCGTACCATACACAGATGGGATCATCAAACTGTAACTAAGTCACGGAAAATGGCGTCACTGGGTCACCCAATTGACCCGTCCGCTTGGTGTGACCGTAAGCCATCCAGTCTCTGGCTGAGGCAAGAGCCAGACACAAGGACTTCCAAGCGAGGGGCTCCAGGCTTCCAGGTAGCACCACGTGGGTCGATTGCTGATGGTGATCCCAGCTCAGTCATTAGTTATCAAAGGCGGATGGAATGGGTCACAGTGAGTGATTTTTAATCCATTTATATAACACTTCGCCTGAATCACTCGAAAGCTGCAGGAACCAAATCGACCCTTTGAGTTTGAAAAAAGAAGAAGGCAAATAATTCGAATCGAGCATGACTCATCGAGAGACGGAGTAGGCCATACAACCTGAATCCGAAGGGAATCAAGCACAAATCTGGCGCTACAACTTAAATTTTACGCCAATCGGCCATATTACTCTCGCAGTAATGTTTACATAATAAACCAAAGACATGGGATGAAAAATGTACGCCCAGGTAGCATTTTTCACTGTGTATAGCCTCACACAAACACGTGTCCATAGTCTCTCCGCGTGCCTGCGCGTGCCTCCACGCCCCGCCCCGCCCCGACAATCCGTCCGCGAGCTCACCATCAAAGCCCTCCTTCTCGACGAACTGCAGCGAGTACGTCTTGTCCCAGCCCTTGGGGAACACATCGACGCTGATCTGGCCGCCTGCAACACACGCGCGCACGGGTGACGGACTGACGGTGGACCGGTCTGGCGAGTGACATGGGCTTCACCGCACGGCGCCTCCCTTCGGCGGCAACCGGTGTCGTTGAAATGTTTGTGCCATCGCAATTGCGCTGAGCGTAAGCTGCGGATTTGGGGATATTTTTGGAATTTGGGGGAGTCTGGTGGCCAATGACGATATTACACGGAGACATGGCATTGCGGAATCTTGAGAATTTGCCCAACAGGGTGCTGATGCATGATAAAGCACGTAGGAAAGAGGTTCGCAGGTTGTGGGTGGCCTTCCCCGTCGTCCTGCGACAGCAAGTCGGATTAACCGCTTGCAACAGGTTGCAACAACAGGAATGCAACAGACTGCGGCGTGTTTGCACTGTGCGTCGGCAACAGGTTACGTTATGCGTCTCAACGAGCAGAGCACATGCAATCCACTGGGCACGCATGACGCCAGGCACTCAGCTGAGCTCGACGCTAGGAGAGTATGGAAAAGACACAACAGCTAATCAGCTTGGAAGCTCACAACCCCACGGTGGTCCTGAGGCGACTCGCACCGACGCGACACGTGACAAACGGAGCGCACTGCTGGGGGAGGGGGGGGGGGGGGCGGGCGCGCCGGCCGCGTACCGATGCAGAAGCAGAGGCCCGAATCGCCG